TATGCAAAAGGTCTCTTGTAAGGTACCATTACAAAGGTTATAATCTAATGAGTGTGTTCATCCTATTTGTTTCCATGTATTATTTCTATGTCTGGAGTTCGGAAAATAAGATATAAACTTGTATTACTGATGTAAATACATTAAGTGGAAGGGTGCTTTGGAAGGGTGCTTCAGAATCAATGAACTGGTGAATGGGTTTGTTTACTTGCAAGCCTTCCTGTGTTTGTGTAAGCCAGCCCAGGAATAATGGTGGAATCCATCTTAAACCTGGTGCTTTTCCATTTAAAAGGAGGGGTGAAGATCCAGAGAGACAAAAGATTCCCGCCTTGTGCCAAAGCTATAAAAGGGGGTTGGAGAGAACAAAGGAGGTTGACATTCATGAGAAATCCCCTAGTTACCACCTGAGCTGGAACTAACAAGGACTTTTACAAGGGTAAAGGATTGGGCCCAGATCTAGAAAGGAGTCTAGTCTGTGAAAGAAGCTTATTGGAACATCTCTGACGGTGAGACTTGCCTGCAAACAGTTTCTTAATGTATTAGGTTTAGACTTGCGTGTTTTGTTTTATTTTGCTTGGTGACTTACTTTGTTCTGTATGTTATTACTTGAAACCACTTAAATCCTACTTTTTATACTTTTGTTTATTAGTAAACCCAGAGTAAGTGATTAATACCTGGGGGACTAAACAGCTGTGCATATTTCTCGATCAGTGTTATAGAGGGCAGACAATTTATGAGTTTACACTGTGTAAGCTTGATATAGAGTAAAACAGACCCATTTGGGGTTTGGATCCCATTGGGAGCTGGATGTCTGGGTGTTGGAAATAGGTGACCTGCTGAGCAGTTTTTGGTTAAAGTCTGCAGCTTTGGGGGCATGGACCAGACCTGCATCTGTGTTTCAGCAGCCTAGCGTGTCTGGCTCCACAAGGCAGGGTTCTGGAATCCCAAACTGTCAGGGAAAACAGGCTCAGAGGCAATCTTAGCACATCAGGTGACAGTCCTAAGGGGGTCTCTGTGGCCAAACCCGTCACAGCACCATCTGGTCCAAAGCTACTATTAGACCCTTTTACTAATATTGCAGTTCTACAGTTACATTATAGGTTCAGTGCTGTTGTACCGCTTTCAATCATATGGTTCTGTTTGGAAATCTATTGTATTTCTCTAATTACTACAGTGTGTGAGACAATTGTTATTGCAAGATGGAACACTAAATTATTTCAGAACCTTAGATTTACAAAAAGTAATAAAAAATGAAAGGCATTTTAAGTAATTACTAACATGCTGATGTAATAATTTCATATTATAACAGATTATATTCTATTGTAGTTAATTGGCTTTCACAGGTCAAGCTGAGACTAAGATTTTTCCTGTACTGTTAACCTGGTTTTACAAGGTTTATATTTTTTTAAGCACACTTAGATAGATAGATAGATAGATAGATATAGAATTAACTATCTATCTATTGTGACAAAGCTCTATCCTTGTCTCTGTGGGTCCCACGTTTCCTGGCAGATTTCACTAGCCTCAGATGCTCACTGTGACCCTCTAGAGACAAGGGTCACAGTCTACTGAGCCATTTTCATCATAAGCCAGCAAGGGAGGTGAGGAGAAGCTATCCTCCCTTGCACAGTCTCTGTTGTCTCCCAGTCTCAGTGATTAATCGGAGGGGGCAAAAGGGGAGAGCCAGGGCCCACCCTCTACTCCAGGCTCCAGCCCAGGGACCTAATAGTATCAGCTATGGTAGCTGACCTTTTAGAAACATGACACATACAATTCCCTGGGCCACTTCCCCACAGCAGCCCCCACTTCCTCAAGTTCCACTTTACCCTTACCTCAGGGCCTCCGTCCTTGTGCCTGATATGGTGTGTCCTGCTCAGTCTCTCCAACAGCACAACTTCCTCCCATAGCTCCTGACATCTACACCCACCTGACTAACTGGGAGGCTTTCAACTAGTTTCAGCCAGTCCCTGATTGGCTTCAGGTGTCCCAATCAACCTAGCGTTATCCCTGCCTTCTGGAAAGTTCTTAATTGGCCTCAGGTGTCTTAACTGACCTGGAGCAGCTGCCATTTAACTTATCCTGGTACCAGGGATTTCTTTAGCCTGGAGCTAATATATCTATCTCCCACTACTTTTCTATAGCCATCTGGCCTTGCCCAATCACACTATCATCGATCTTATCGATCTTATCTATCTATCTATCTATCTATCTATCTATCCACACGCTTAAATGCATGGCACAAGATTCACTAGCGTTTATTCCAGATGCTAAATACACCTCTCTGCTCTAGCAAGATTTGGATGGTGTTTCTCTGATCATCCTTTCTGGACACTTCTTTTGATGGCTGCTTTAGCTGGAGACCACCATAAGATTTGTTCTGACAGTGCCTGCAAAGATGATGCACAGAATTGAGTATACACTTGGGCGGTCACGGCCAGGCCTATTTCTAGCCATCACCGGTCAGAACTGGTTGGCTGTGACTGACTCAAAAGAGTCTAGGTTGAGGGCCTCTTGCATTGTCACAGCCCCTTTCAGGTGGGTTTTCTTCTGCCTGGGGTCTTCAGCCCAGATTAATTCTGGCTTTAGTTCATGGACCCAGTAGAGAAACTGGCCCACTATATGCAGCTATCAGATTTGCTGTAGTCTGAATAGAAATGGGCCAAAACAGAACATCTGAGCCAGCTACCACTAAAGCACAGGAAATTTATAGCTGCATGTTTTTTCTGATACTGTGCATTTTCCATCATTGTGAAAATCACTCAGGACAAGGGACGGGCGCTTGTTATAATTTCTTTCCTAATGAAAGATTATTTATTTTAAATTGTAACTAAAGCATTTTTAAAGCTGTAAAGTCCCAAAAGGACACAGTTGCTTGTAAAAGCCTTTAGAACTAATGCTGTCATTAACCATTTGTTTTTATAACATCTCCTCAGCATGTCCTCTGCAGACATGAACTCAAGTTGTTCAGTACCAAAGCATAAACCTGTATCCAAACTCTGCTCAGTGGCAGAAGTAATAGGCTCTTATCCTCTAGATGGACTTGCCACTAGAGGGGAACCATAGACTTTGTATGATGTAGTTCTAGGTTTTAGAGGTCCACAGAAGTTCAAATCTCTCTGCAACACCCTGAACTTGAGCTAAAGAATTAAATCCATTAGTTGGTCAAATCAGTAAGCATTTATCCTCTGTGTGAGCGAGATACTAGATTGGGTTGCAATTTAGCTACCATGTTACATTTTCATATAGGAAACAGGAACTGTTTCACTGATGCCTAATGTACCAAATGCAGTGATCAAACTTAGACCTGTAGTGTAGTTTCATGTACTTTATTCAGCTATACTGAAGTGTCAGTGTTCCACATCACTTAAATACCAACCACTGTGGTCTGCTGTATGACAGTGCATTATTCACATGGATTGATCTAGCATTACTCATCAAAATATTTCTGCTTTTATTGATTATTTTACAATTATTTATAAGAGAAAGTTTAAAACATAATTAATCAAAGAAAGTTCTGCCATGATGATTTTGAGACAATACCTGTAAAAAACCCTATGAATTCTCTGGAAGATCAAACAATCCTCAGCACTCTTTAAGTCATTAGAATAGGGAAATTTATATATGAGGAACAACATGCCGACAACTTAATTTTGCTAAGAATCTGTGAAGTTTAATAGTTGTGGGTTAAAGCTCATGCTCAAATAAATTGGTTAGTCTCTAAGGTGCCACAAGTACTCCTTTTCTTTTTGCGAATACAGACTAACACGGCTGTTCCTCTGAAACCTGTCAGTATGAATAATCATTCAATCTTTAGGTGATTATCCAACTGGAGATGAGAAAACTTCAAGTTGCTTCATTTGCAACCCACTTGAGCAATACTTGTTCAAAACTTTATCTTGAACTTAGATGCTCCTGGATTTGTTTTGTACATAGCAGAAAAAGGACCACTTTCTAGCCCAAGCAACCATTCCTATCCCTAACTACATATTTGTCAGTTCTTTTTCTGGTATCCTCCTAGCATAAAGACCTGTGATAAAACTCATTGCTGAATAATATGTTGACATAATGCTTGTAAATTATCAATCATTTATCATTCTACTGCTGCATCTCACCTTTAGCATTTAAAGATGAAATGTGGGTCAACATAATAATATGATACTGTCTATATACTTCCTCTGAAGTCTGACATGTTTACAGTGGCTCTGTCCATGCATCAGTACTAGTTGTCTGGCAATATTGTTAATAATAACTTACCCTTTGAGACTTGAATGTACAAAACAACTTGAAAAAGGTTAATGAAACTTCCTTTGGGTGAAGTCTAGGTTAACATAAAGTCCAGCATTACTCACTGTTGGTTTTTTTTTTTTGTCATTTAATATTGTCCATAATAGATCAACACAAAATATTATTAATTGTAAAACATTAATTAGCTGCTGAGAAATTGTGTTTCTGGTATGGTGAAAACAAGCTGAACTGCACTAGTGGAGAAGCAGCATTTTCATTCTTTTAAACCCAGGAAAAGCCTCATTTTGTTGGGATGGGTTTACACAGATGCACTCATATGGAACAATGATTATAGTCAAAGCCTAGACCACGTACAATACAAACAGAGAGACCATTATATAGACAATATGTAAACTATTTCAAGGTCATGTATATTTTTAGACATGAAGACTTTATCTCCCAGTGCACTCAGTTGGTCTGAGAATAAAGGCAATAAACCATTATTCATTAATCTTACTTGTCCTTGAAAAGTGACCTCTTACAGGAAGATAGCCTGTCACCATTCAGAACATTAATCCCACTTAAATGAATCAGGTAAATCTCAAATGCAGAAAGAGCCCTTGCCTCCACTCTCAACTTTCTGATATTTTTTTTCTAGAGTTAGTGATCACTGGATCCTTTACTGGATTTACTGGATTCAGCTCTCATTTCTCTTGGGACAATTAGGTTTAATAAGAATTGAAGTTCTTAAGGGAAAAAATAGCATGCTCCATAATTACCTGCTGCCACCTGGCCTCAATGACCATCACAACTGGTCTGGCACATCTTCTTTGTTTTGCAACTCAGTGCAGTCCAATGGTTTCCAAGAGCCCTCTTTGTCAGTGAATCTGAAATTCTGATTCACAGAAGCATGTAGCTCTGTCTCTTCCTCCTCCTCCTTCTTCTGCTTTTTTGCAGTGTGGGGATAATTGCTTGCCTCTGTTGATAATGTTAGTGTTGTGTAACAAACATAATCTATTTTCTCCAGATACACAGGGAGTTATAGCAAATGGTTTTACTATGGCTTTTTGGCACCAGTTAAGTTTACCCTCTGCCTTCTACTTCTCTCTGAAGTACGGCTACATTGTTTGCTATATTTTAGATGCTACTTTGATGTTGCTGGATGTCATCCCCAGATAACTTATGTTAGAAATGTCAGAGAGTTAATGATTGGAACTGATCATAAGCAGTTTCTGCTTCAAGGCTGAATCAGTTGTCAAACCTGTTCTGCTGCCCAGTTTTTACCTAATATGCTGTTTGATGCACAATGGCGATCAGTTTCTAAAATACTGTTAAACAAACAGCAGATGTAGGTTGGTTGCTTAAAGTAGAAAAATAAAGACTCAACCCCACACACCTGTACTGATTTGTGCATAACATCTGTGCCAAAGTGGTAAACAAATACCATTAAAATATTTGCCTAAATTGGGTTACATATTCTTGTGGGAAATCATGTCAATTAATTTCATAAATGTGCAAAATATCACAGCACATTTCATAGGGCATATCATGCCTGTCCATGTTTCTCTCCATCACAGACACCTGCTGCATAATTTGGAATTAGAAGAATAAAATATACTGATTTTAATCATGATTCCAAAGTAATGTCTTGTGACAAAACATTGTTAAGAAATTCAAAATAAAAATAAAATGGACAGCTTTTTCACAGTATCTATTCAGTAGTTTTTCTCATCAAGTTTCAGGGAATAGAACAATAGAAATAATGGGACTGGGCTAGAAAAAGATTACTTATTTTTAAAAACTGACCTTGGGGGTCTGTCTTTTATCATTAGTTTCATAAATTTACTGAGATCTAAATTCAAAACAGTACAGTTTGCCTTATGCATTCAGAAATGGGGGAAAGGGACAGAAAACATGAAATGGAAAAAGGAAGTTTATCTAAACTAATAACTGAAACCTAAAAGTGGGACAGAATACAAAAGGATAGAATAATTTTCACACACAATTTTTTGTTTAAATTTTTTTGTAAAAAATGCAAATCAACATTTTGAATCTTTGAAAATTTTGACCACACTCTGTGAAAGGTAGAACAATGAGGAGCAGTATTTCTGTCTAATAAAATCTTGTAGTAATTTGTAGGTGACACAGAGGTCACAAGTTCCCTTGAGTTGTGAAGGCCAAGACCATAACAGGGTTCAAGAAAGAACTAGATAAATTCATGGAGGATGGGTCCATTAAAGGCTATTAGCCAGGATGGGCAGGGATGGTGTCCCTAGCCTCTGTTTGCCAGAAGCTGGGAATGAATGACAGGGAATGGATCACTTGATGATTACCTGTTCTATTCATTCCCTCTGGGGCACCTGGCATTGGCCACTGTTTGAAGACAGGTTACTGGGCTAGATGGACCTTTGGTCTGACCAAGTAGGGCCGTTCTTATGTTCTTATGAGTTAGGCTTTCTGCAACTTTATGGAGCTACCAAAAGTTAGAGATCTGCATAATTATGGAGTAAACTGGATTATTTTTACTCCAGCTTGTTAGATGTGTGCTCAGCGTACTTGGAAGCTACTTAACTTGAGCCACATTCTAGCTACTTCTGCAGATCGAGCCCTCAGTCCTTAGGCAGAAAAAAATATTTACTTCAATGGGGATTTTGTCTGAGAAAGGATTTCAGAACTGAGCTCATACAAAGTAGCAGACATGAGATGTCATTAATATTATGTACACTTATATTGCTCCACAAGGTGACTGAGCTGTAGCTTGTAGTCTATATATAAACCTAGAAGATGCATCATAGCAGAACAATCGCTTAAGTGAGTCTTTCCAATTAAAAGCTTCTAGCCACTATCACATTTGACAACAGATGACATTTGCAAATAAAATGTACTCCACATATGTAGTTGATTTTCCCTGCTTCTAGTATTATCTTAACAACCTTTATGTAGAGCCAATTAATTAGTAGTCCCACTCCAACAGAAACCTCCAGACTCTCAGCACTGTGAGTTTCTTATTAGCTGCTCTTGAAATAAGGAGAGATTGATGCTGGTACAATAAAATATTTCTGCTTTCAAGAACATACTATCATAAATGATGAGCTGAATATGCGTCCTGCAGATAATGCAGTTACATGGTGGAAGGTTCCAGAATTACTACACAGCCTGATACGCACTGAAGACAATTTTGAATAGTAAGTGTGTGTGTGTGTGTGTATATATATATATATATATATAATATACTATGCCATATATATATAGATGATTGATGGATTCATGGCTTTCTTTTTTACTGTAAAGCAGTTAAAACATTTTGATCAGGATATTCAATCATTTCAATGATCCTCTAGAAACTGTCATGGTCAGCAGAATCAAAGAAAGGCTTACAATTAATGAAGCAGAACTATGCTATGATGTGGAACCTGACGAGTTCTTTCAGTAACTATTATAGGGAAAAGATTTGATGTACAACTGATTAGTCTGGCATGCAATCTGCTTGCTCCTGGTGATGTTTTGAGCAATGTGACAGAATATTTGCAAAGTTCCTGCCAGTGGAGCACAGTAGAGCAAAGCCCCTATGATTGTTATATTCTTTTTTAGTTCTTTACAAATTTCCAAGGAACTAACCTTCACAGCTTTACCAGTCATATGCTATACTTTCATAGCTCTCTACACTATTTATATCATGTACAGCACTTAAAAGATTAATGGTTTCTGCTATGCAAATGTCTATAAAAATGGTATCATAATGTTCCACATTTATTATTTCACTGATTAGGTATCAAAGTTGCACAGTGTCAAGTTAAAAATGTTGTTTTTTCTAATCGTTATCCCTGCAAACTTAATGTGGGCTTTGAACCACAGGCTGGGTTCCTTCTTTCTCATACATCACCAATAATAATGATTCTGCAACCCTTTTGAACTGTCAGGAGATTGCCCAAGTGTAACTGAGGGCATAATTTGAAGATGATGGAAGTTGTACAGGTTGAAATAAAGGCCTAATTTGGCCTACCACATCTATGTTATTAGTGAGCTGATGTCATACCCTGTGGGTCTCAAACCCATCGTCATGGAGATTCTTATACTCCACTCCTGCACCCCGAAGTTCATAGGCAGCAGCTGGGACTGTGGTCCATGAAGCCCAACTGAGGTACAAGCCCTACCCCTAAGCTCTGATTGGGAAAGCTCCAAGGATCTTGATTGGGCCACAGATCCTATTTAAACTAGAGGAGGAAACAGGAAACTATCTTTATAATGAGGTTTCACTCTGCCATGGACTGCTGCTCTGGTGTTTACCTGTTCCTGACTTCTGATCCTGATATTTTGACTTGGCCTGGTTCTTAGTAACTGACTCTTTGTCCCTGTGGTCTGGTTTGTCTCTCAGTTGTGATCGCCTGGAGTTCCAACTTGGCTTGATTCTGGTTGGCTCCTGACAGTAATCTCTAGACCAGGCTCACAGCCGATAAGAAAATGTAAACAGTATTGAGATTTGATGGAACATGTTCGCGTTTTTTGCAGACTTTTTCCTTGTTTTTAACTAGCTCTAATTATTGGTCAGAGGTGAAATGGAAAGATCCCAACAGGATTTTCAGAATTTAAGTTGAATTTTCAGGACAGGTAGGTAGGAAACCTGGGCATATTTTCTGATGGTGTAACTCCAGGGGAGATGATGGGATTATGCTACCAGAAAATGTAGGCCTTCATCTTGTTACATCTAAATGGAGGAAATCTGATATAAAGTCAGTAAGAAAAAATAAACACAGAATCCCACAATGTCATTTTTACAATAGAACTGAACTTTACATTTGTGTTGGTGGGAACATAGCATGGTTATTGTTAGGAAACTTTTGCAAAGCAAATTAAGGGGTCCCTTTAAAACTGATATCTTTCTATTGTCTGTACAGGTTTGGTTCACTCACTAACTGGTGCACTGTTAATGGACACATGGTCCACTATGACATCATTAACTTAGCACTTGCATTAAGATGTAGAAACAAAGATGCTGACTCCATGGGTGCTCCAGGGCTAGAGCACCCATAGGGAAAAATGGTGGGTGCTTAGCATCCACCGGCAGCCCCCTATTAATGACTGCTGGCAGCCCTGCCAATCAGCACCTCCCCTCCTCATCCCCTCCACCCCACAGCACCTCGCAGCTGCCGCAATCAGCTATTCTTCAGCGTACAGGAGGCGCTTGGGGAGAGGAGCAAGGGTGGGCTGTGCTTGGGGACAGGAAAGGGTCCCCATGGGGGAAGGAGTGGAGTGGGGGCAGGACCTGGGGTAGAGCCAGAGGGAGCATCCTCCAGCTCATTCAAGAGTCAGTGCCTATGTGTAGAACCATTCCATACTACACTTCTTCTACCTCAAAAAATTAGTTTTTTTATTTAACTTGTTAAATAACTGCTGCTTTGAATTATCTACAAAACAGTCATCTTGTTTGCATTTCACCATTCATCTTGACAATTATTCAACAATGCTGTCAATTATCCAACATAAAGTTGCTATCAGTGGTGCACCAGGAGTTTTTTTTTTTACATTGGCCAAACTCAAAACATAATGTCATTTCAAAATAAGTGTTTCACAGTTTAAAAAATAAAATCTTTTGAAATGAAAAGTCAAAATAAGACATTTCAAACTAGTTGAAATGAAATGTTTTGATGGGGGGGGGGCTAAAACTATTTTAATTTGACCTAAATTCAAGAATAATTTGAGTTCTGAAAGATATTGTTTTCAACAAAAATACTCAAAAAGAAAAGGAGTACTCGTGGCACCTTAGAGACTAACAAATTTATTTGAGCATAAGCTTTCGTAAGCTACAGCTCACTTCATCGGATCATGAAAGCTTATGCTCAAATAAATTTGTTAGTCTCTAAGGTGCCACAAGTACTCCTTTTCTTTTTGCGAATACAGACTAACATGGCTGCTACTCTGAAACAAAAATACTATTCACCAAAACATTTTCATTCATTTCCAGCTTACACTAGAGTTCACTGTCATCAACAGTAACAATATTTTGGACCGTAGTTCTTTTGTTAAAAATAGCCATAAATTATACTATTAATGTGTTGAATTAGAGGGGGAAATGGGTTCTAACTGCCATAGCCGCTGTTGTGGTATAACTGGTTCTGATATGATTTAATTTGTGTCTTTGTTCTTGCATCTAGTTGTAGGCTACATGTGAACAAGCTCTGT